CTGCCCGCGCTCCGCCTGTCCTCACCGTTCGGAGCCCAAACCCAGCCTCCCACGCCCTCCCGCGTTTGCCCCGCCAGCCGCCCGGCCAGCCGGGCCCTGCTGCAGAATCGTAGAATCATAGAATGGTCAGGGCTGGAAGGGAACTTCAAAGGTCATCTGGTCCAACCCCCCTGCAAGGAACAGGGATATCTCCAACTAGATCAGGCTGCTCAGGGCCTCATCCAACCTGGCCTTGAACGTCTCCAGGGATGGAGCATCCACCACCTCTCTGGGCAACCTGTTCCAGTGTTCTACAACTCAGAAGATGCTGCGGGGCCACCTTTTTGTGTCCCTGAAGAAATGTAACATCTTCCTGGGAAGACTGAGCTCTGCTGGAGACCCTGCACTTCTGGATGTTGTTTCCTTCCAGCCCTGGTGCCTGCCTGGGTGCCGGCGCTGTGCTCCGCGTTTATGGCTTTTTCTGTGCTTCGCAAGCCCTGTAGCAGGGACGGGGACGTGCTGCACACACACACCGTGTGTCACGGGGTTGAAATTGTGGATGCTGGAATTCTTCTGGACACCTTGGGGACACAGACCACACATTGCTACAACCACTGAGAACCCATGGGGGCTGAGCCTCAGCATCTCCCACAGTGCAATCAGGCAGAAGACACAATTTGGTGAGAATTCTCCCCAATTCTCCCCTCCAGCCCTGCTCTGGGGGCGAGCTGGCACATTCCCAGCTGCTGGCACTCAAGTAGCTGCAGTTTTGGGGGGCTGTGAGATAGAAAACAATAAGACTAGTGGGGAGGTGTGAGCTGTTCGACCTGAAAGATGGATTCATCTCATGCTCTCTTGAAACGCTGCTCAAATTAAACCTTGAAATGGGGCTGCCCCAATTCCAACAGCTCCAGTGCTCGGGATGGGGTGGCCAGTGGGAGAGTTGGTGCCTGTGACACCTTTTCCAAAAGCAGAGGAGAAGGAGGGGTGGGGAGAGTCATCTCCACACTGAGACCCCAGCCGTCGCTGCCTGGGAGGCTGGTGCATCGTTGGAGCCTGGCAAAGGCTGAGGTGCATGGGAGGGGACAGGGGTGGCCGTGCAGGGGGACAGGGGGTCTCAGCAGAGCTGGTGGGGCACCAGGAGCAACCTGGGGGGCTGGAAGAGTTGAGCCCAAAGCAAGTGCGCTGGCACAGGGACATTGCAGGGTGTCAGGAAAGGACCAGGGTATCTTCTCCACGGGGCTGTGGAGCAGCACCTGCCCCCGGCCAGTGCTCCCACAGCAACAAGCCCACGCGGCGCTCTGCCCGGGAGACCGTCCTTTAATACACGTGCAGCAGCGCGGGTACATCTCAAGCTGCACCCACCGGAGGATGGGGGAGTGGGAGGACAAACAGCCATCTCCAGGGGCTCTCTGCAGTGGTGGGAGGGGAGGGGTGGCCAGTGGCCCCTTTGAGACAGCATGGCCCGTGCAGGTGACACCAGGGAGCCACCGTGCCGGGGCTGCGTGGGAGCAGGGCTGATGGCAGTTCTGAAAGAAAGAAGCTCAGATCTCCTTCCCACAGGGTTGTTCACGTGTTTCAGCTCAGCGGTGACTTCAGGGTAAGGTGTAAAGAGCATGGAGGGGCAGCAAGGTAGAGGGAGGCAGGCAGCAGGGGTGGGGAGGCTCTTCTTCCCGGTGCTCCTGTGGGAAAGAAACAGGAGTGGGTCAGAAGAGGAATTTTCAGGCTGCTTTCAGCAGCCCAAAGTTGGTGCGAGCAATGCTCAGGCTGTGCAGGATGAGTGTGGCATGGGCAGCAGACCCTGGAGAGCCAGGGAGGACAAGCTGGGAGAGGAGGATAGCTGCTGGCAGAGGCTGCATGGCAGGGATGTGTAGGACAGGCACCCGTCCCAAGTTTGGGGTGGGAGATGGGGCGTGTGATGCCTTTTTCCATGGGAGCGGTTTCTGCATTTGCCCAGCCACAGATCAGGGATGCTGCACGGAGCACAGGGCATCGCCGGGAAGGAGGACCTGTCCCCTACCTCTCACTGGCCCGTGGGGGACTTGGCAGCGTCAAACATCTTCTTTCTCCCCTCCATCCCGGACATGGCCTCCACGTTCTTGCGCCAGTCGCCCACTTCCACGGGGCGCTCCTGCCGGGACGGACAGGGACGGGGGTTGCAATGGCCGTGTGACAGAGTGGTCAGTAGCCCCACGCTGTCCCACCCCATTGCACGGAGCCCTCGGCCCCGGCACGCAAGCAGCACGGGGAAGGCACGTGGAGCTGACCAGGAAGATGGCAAACAGTGGTCTGATCTCCGCAGGGAGGTCTGGATTCATGTGCATACCCCCCAAAAGCCTGGCTAAATTGCATTAATGCACTAGAAGGCACAAAAATCCCAGAAAAATTCTTTAGGAGGAAGAAATGAGCACACGGACTTACTCCGGATTTACACCAGCACACATGCAAGCAAAAAAACTTCGCTGACCAGGAAGATGGCAAACAGTGGTCTGATCTCCGCAGGGAGGTCTGGATTCATGTGCATACCCCCCAAAAGCCTGGCTAAATTGCATTAATGCACTAGAAGGCACAAAAATCCCAGAAAAATTCTTTAGGAGGAAGAAATGAGCACACGGACTTACTCCGGATTTACACCAGCACACATGCAAGCAAAAAAACTTCCTGCATGGACCTGCCAGCCCACATAAAACCCATCTCCAAGCTTTTGGAGGGGACTGGGGTTGCTGGTGTGACAGCAAGAGCCTGGCAGCCGCTTCCAGATGAGAAAGGGGAGATGAGGGCAGCTCTGGGAGCATGCCCAAGTGTCTGCTCTGCCAACCCACAAGCATTCATAGGTTACAAGCCATGCCCCAAAATCATCTCACGACATCTAAAATAAACCCAGATGTGTTCACCACCTGGCGTTGAGGACTGTAAATACAGTTTTCTATTCAAAGGACTGAAAACATTCGATACTAGCAACAGGAGGGGAAAAAGAAAGAAAAATTATTGAAAATTGAGATTCTCATCCAATCCGCTGAGCTGGGACCAAAGGGTAAAACTCCTCTGGGGAGAGGCTCTAGGAACGTGGCACAACTCTTGCCGTTGGGGTGCCTGCACGCCCCGGGCAGGTTTGGGCATCGCTCTCCATCTCTGGTATTGAGACTTGCCCCTCTCGCATCTCTGCAAAGCCGGTGTGAACTGGGCCATTTATCTCAGGTCAAGCGTGCTTGCTGGGCTCGCTCTGTCTTATCTAATCTGGGTCTGGGAGTTTCCTGGGTGTTTTCTGGGCATGACTGTACCGGATAACAGCTCTCCTGGTTCCCTAGAGAACCAAAGACCAAACTCTCTGCCAGTGCAGCTCAGCAGACATGCCAAGAAGGCCCCAGGTGAAAGACCCCTACATGCTCTGGGAGGGAAGAGCATCATGGATCAGCCCTGAATCTCATACGTTATCATCCACCAGTTACCCGGCCCAGTCAAACTGCTCCCACGTGGTCCTACAACTTCCCACAATGGTCAGTGCCTCACAAGGACTGCCCCATGCTGTTTCTGAGGCTTGCAAGGGATGAGCACAACCCACACAGGCTTCACAGGGGACCATGAAGAATGGCAAGGGCATCCCTAGGATCTCTCCATCTCAGGCCTTTAGAAGAGTCACCCACCTTCTCCGTGTCCTCCTTCTTGACAGACTTCAGGTTGGCTCTCAGATCCATAGACACCTTGTGCTTGGAGCCCAGCAGGGCCCTCAGCATGGCATCGGCGGAGACGCGGACTCGCCGCAGCGGGGGTCGCTTGAACTTTCCTCGGAGATCAAGCACTTTGATTTTCAGATCTTTAATCTGCAGGTTGAGGAAAGGAGGAGGAGGGGGAGGTCATCGCATGGCTGCCTTGCACAGAAAGCTTCTGCGTGAAGCAGAAGTCTTTGCCGACACCGAGCCCCAGAGGGATTTACGCCTCTCCTGCAGCCATGAGGACCGCCTTCCCCAAGGGACTGTCCACCTGAGCAGAGAGCTGTTGTCATTGCCTTGCCCCAGCCTGCTCGTGTGGCAGCCGTACCATGAGAAGGAGCTCTCAGACCCTCAAGGGGTGATCAGAAGAGCAAGGATGTTGCCTGTGGACCCAGTGGACAGCTTGAGCTCCCTGAAGCAGGGATGAAGCTTGTGCTGAACGATGCCTTGTAGTGCAAATACCAACCCTTAGATAGGCCTGGTGAATGTTCCACAACCAAACTCAGCCCAGTCCATGACAGATCACCATTGAGGCCCAAGCTGCCATCTGGGAGGGAGTCAATATCAAAGCAAACAGCCCATTCTGCATCCTACCTCCCGAGTATTATGGTTGCACTTCGCTTCAATGTCATATCTCTCTTCATCCACAATTTCAACCTTCTCATGCAGCTCCCTGCACAGGTCCTGGGGGCCAAGAAAAACAGAAGAGCAGTGAGTGGCACCCCTCGTGCTCCCAAGGAGCTCACTCCACCTTCAGACCTGAGAAATACCTGGAGCTGGCTCAAGGAAAGCCCACTGGTGTGCAGTGGTGTGATGCGCTCAGACAGGTATCTTTCCTTCTCTGACTGCTTGTCCACGATCTCCTGATCCCATTCCTCCTTTGCTTTTGCCAGCATCAAACTCTACGAGCACAAGTATATGGCAGCAGTGTGAACAGACAGGCTCCTCTCTTCCGCCCCGAGCCTCCTCGCACAACATCTGTGGGATGGGACAGCCCTGTCTGCCTCCCCGCTGTAGCTGTCCTCCCAAAATCCCTGTGCTGCTGCAACACACATCAAAAAATCCCTACGCCTTTCGTGTGGTGACCCTGAAGGCAAGGGAGCCGCAGGGATGGAGATACCATGGGGCTGTGGTGGTGGTGGTCCCAATGGATGCTGACATCAGCACTTTCTATGCATCAGTTTGCTCTGCTGTGGCAGTAAACAATTTTCCCAAGCCACAGCCCAGGGACCTCCCAAGCTTGTGCTGCAGAGCTGCTGGTGCCCAAACATGAGATGTGTGGCTTTAGAGCAGAAGGCGTTGGAGTCTCTCCCCACCTTAGCACAGCGGAGGTGAGGGGAGGTTTGTTTGGTGCACAGACCACAAAGCCCACATGAGTGAGGATTTTTGAGAAGACAAGAGGTGGGAACGGGAGCTGCTGCCCAAGGCCCATACTTCTGCCGTTCCTCATCGCTGTCCCACCGACCACGCGTTTCAACCCCGGCTCCTTTTCCCCAGCAAGACAAACCCCAGGGAGTTTCCAACCCTCAGGACTCACCTTCAACAAGAGTTTGCGTGAGGCTGTGATCTTGGATTTTCTCTAGGGGAAAGGGGAGAAAAAAAAAGTCTCCTTTGAAAACAAACTCAAAGCAAATGCAGAGCAACGTTGAGATGGCTCCTGAAAGGAAAGGCACTTACCTCCCTCCTGGCAGGTGTGCGTTCGAAAAGGAGCAATAAGGGACAAGAGGAGAGAACAAGGCATCAGTGAATAAGAGTTGAAAAGAGGTGATGGTCAAGAAAAACATCCCATGTGAGTGCGGTTGGTTCCCTTATTTCTTTATCCAACAGTTGCCACCTGCAAGCGAGCCAGTGAGATGGCGGTGCCCTCTGGGAACGCGGTGGGTGCTCAGGGCCACTGCTCAGAAAGCGAAAATGCCACTTGAACACGGCACGCGAGCTGTCGCAGTGGCCGCAGTGCCAGCCCCGGCTCGGTCCCTGCGGTTCGGGCCACAACACCCTCATCCACACGTTCCCCAGGCAGGTGGAGACTGGCAGGCAGGATGCTTGGACCCTGGCCTAGGGCATATCCATGTTGGTGCTCAATGAAAGCCTTGCAGGGAGGTTTCTTGCTTCTGTTCATGCTGAGGAATATGCTATTTTGTATGATGTGCTACAAAGAGCCTCATGGCAAAGGGAGAGGTGCAGCCCACCTCGCATCCCTGTTTTGGGATCTAGGAAAGCTCCAAGGTTTGAGTTGGGACATTGAAATAGCTAATAATTTTTATTTAAAGACAGTTTTTGTAAGGGGAGTGGCACAGAGGTCTCAAGCATGGGCTGGTCTCTCAGCTGAATCCCCACAAAACCAGACAAGCTCAGCCAGAACCGGCAGCCCAACAGCCAGGCAAGGATTTAGCAAAATCCTAGGAAAACTCATGCTACTTACGGCTCTGGCATTGTGGCGTCGTGCTGTTCACCTAAAAAAAAAACAAAAAACAAACCAGCAGACAAACAAACAAACAAAAAAACTGAAACAAAGTAATAAATCCCAAATTCACCCAAACCAGGAAAGCGGCGGCGGCAGCAGGATGCTCCCGAGGTCTGGTGCTG